CACTCTACCAATTTGGTTGATCTGTGGCCAAACTCTATGTACCTGCCTTTAGCCCGTATCCCTTAATTCCTTTGCTTAGCAAAAAATTATCCATCTCAGATTTTAAAATTAACAACTGATCCAGCATTCATCACCATTTGTGGAAAAGAGTTCTAAACATCTCCCACCCTTTGTGTGCAAGAACCTGACCCTGGCTGGTGTGGCACCATTCCAACTACTGAGAACCAATGCCATAACTATCAACTGCATGAGTCAAATACTTTCAGCATTTCTGGGGCTGATGATATAGAGGACAATGACCATTAGTTTTTTTTATTCGTTCACGGGTTGAGGGCATCACTGGCTAGGCAGCATTTGTTGCCCATCCCTAATTGCCCAGAGGGCTGTTCAGAGTCAACCACATTGCTGTGGGTCTAGAGCCACATATAGGCCAGACCAGGTAAGGATGGCAGTTTCCCTCCCTAAAGGGCATTAATAAACCAGATGGGTTTTTCCTGACAATTGGCAATGGGTTCATGGTCACCATGAGACTCTTAATTCCAGATTATTATTGAATTCAAATTTCACCATCAGTCATGGCAGGATTTGAACCCAGGTCCCCGGAACATCTGGGGTCTGGATCTCTGGATTAACAGTCCAGCGCTAACACCGCTAGGCCGTTGCCTTCCCCTTCAGATCCCCTACAGATATGTTAAATGCTAAAATTATACAGGGTATACGCAGGATATACACAGGAAATACATATTAGGTTTTATTGTCACATACTCAAGTAGAGGGATACAGGAGTACAGTAAAAAGTTTACAGAGTTGTCATTCCTGGCGCCATCTTAGGTACAAAGGTAACTAGATACAAAATCTTAGGTACAATGTAGAAAAATAAGGAAATAAAATTAAAAATTCAACATTAAAGTCCTCCTTGGTATAAAGAAGGAAAATAAAGAAATAAAGTTAAAAGTTCAACATGACAGTCCCTTCTTAAATGCTTAGCTATGCTGGACTTGCACTCCCTACAAGGGCTCAATCCCCCCTGCACTGGCTCTCTTTCCCCCATGCTCTCTCATTCTCCTCCATGCTCTCTCATTCTCCCCCATGCTCTCTCGCTCTCCCCCATGGTCTCTCATTCTCCCCAACACTTTCTCATTCTCCCCCACGCTCTCTCACTCGCCCACATGCTTTCTCACTCCCAGTGGGACCGAGTCCCACATTCTCCCCACTCTCTAGGGGAAGGCATTTCTCCTGCATTCCTGATTAGATTTCATGGGGACGATCGTATACTGACAGCCTCCAGTTCAGCCCTCCCCTATGAGGGGAAACAGTCTCTCAGTGTCCATCCATCAAATCCCCTTGTCAGTTTAAAGACCTCATCCCGCAAAGTGTGGTCTAGAATGGATTTGACTGGACTTTACAATATGGGGAACGGGTTGGCACTCGGTAATAGTCCCAGAGCAAGCGTAATGGGCTGAATGGCCTCCTTCTGTGCTGCAACAGTTTGTGATTCTCTCGGATAGTAATCAGCAACAATTAACAAACATACCTTGACAATTTATTCATAAACCAGACTGGGTAAAGCACATGGCAACCTGAGATCCCACGGGATGTAATTTTATCTCCGAATGTTTGGAGCAGTTCAGGACAAACCCAAACTGTTCAACTGGAATGTTTCAAAATGAGAAATGGGAAGGAATGGCCCTCGGAGCCAGTGCTGCCTGTATCCCAGAAAACAGTGAACCAAAGATCACCAAAAGGAGACCACGATGTGGGGAGTGTTTCTCATGGCTACAAGTTGGATTGAGGGGCTTGTAAAATTTGGAATAAGGAAACTTCTCTCTACAGAGCAGTTCGATTGTGTCAATGGAGTGAGAAAGGAGGTGTAACGTGTAAACTTTGCTTCTGTGAGGGATTTGCCCGGCTTTGTGAGGTGTGGATTAGCAGGAATTCTGGCTGTAAAGACGGATGTTGTTCTCCGGCTGGACGTGAAATCTCTCGCGGACAAGCTCAGGGATTTTGGGATAAGTCGAGTCATTCTTTGCCAATTGGGTGAAGCCAAGTCACAGCCCAATAGCCAACAGTTGACAGGGTCAGGGACGTGGTGATGAAGCTGAAGTTGAATCTGGGACAAAGAGCTGACACAAAACTGCTACCAACGCCACCAGCATTCACCAAACCCCGGATACCATCTCAGCAGAGGGAAACCATTGTGGGTGAGTGGGAATTATCAGCTTGATTCTATCACGGAATCTCCGTCATTCAGAAAACTGTTGGAATCTCTTCAAGCCCATTAACTCTCTCACTGCCAGGCCAGCTCCCTTTGGAAAAAATCAGGAAGACAATTTGACGATGTTGAGGTGGAATGAAGGGTGTGAGGGAGGTGGAGGTGAGAGAGAAGGAGCACAGTGAAGTCGCAGAGTGAGGTGGAGACTAAAGGATTCCCTTTACCCAACCTGCTGACCTCTTGCCCTCGGTCCCTAGAGCTCAGGTATGCTTCCTGAGCTTTGCCTGAATTAATAGCCACTGGAAATATGTTCCCTCATTGAGGGAATGGATTCTGACTTAGTGAATTGGTGAGGTACTTGTCAGATCACAGCTGGAATACAGTGAACAGTTCTGGGGCACCTTATTTAAGGAAAGATAGATTGGCATTGGGGGCAGTCCAATAGGGTTCACACAGCTGATCCCAGGTATGGAGGGACTGTCTAATGAGGTTGAGTAGGTGGGGCCTGTGCTTATTGGAGTTTAGAAGAATGAGAGGTGACCTTGCTGAAACCTGTCCCCTCACCTGAGGCGTAGTGACCCACAGATTAAACCCACTGCCGGTCGTCTCTCTCCAATGAGAGAGCAGCCCTATGGGACTGTAACTACCCAACATGTTGTAAAGACTGTATTTTGAACGGTGGACTGAAATGGAAAAAAATCTATCACTAAAAAGAAACTACATACAGAAAAATCTGCCATGCTTTTTGTCAATTCTCATCTAAAAGACAGGCATGTTGGGGAATTTTGTGTACTTAGTTCAGACAGAATTAAGACCATAGAACTGTACAGCAGAGGAACAGGCCCTTTGGCCCACAATGTTGTGCTGAACAAGATGCCAAGTTAAACTAATCCCTTCTGCCTGCCCTTGATCCATATCCTTCCATTCCTTGCATATTCATGTGCTAAATGACTCTTATATGCCCCCATCATATCTGCCTCCACCACAACCCCTGGCAGCGTTTTCCAGACTCCTACCACTCTGTGTAAAACATTTGCCCCTCACATGTCCTTTGAATTTTCCTCTGCTCACCTTGCATGTCTCCCAAGTAATTGATATTTCAATTCTGGGAAAAATATTCTGACTGTCAACCCTTTCCATGCTCTCATAATTTTATAGACTTTTATCAAGTCTCCCCTCAGCGTCCGCCACTCCAGAGAAAACAGCCTGAGTTTTTCTAGTCTCTCCTTATAGCTAATACCCTCTAATCTAGGCAGCATCCTGGTAAACCTCTTGTGTTGTGCACCCTCTCCAAAGCCTCCACATCCCTCCTGTAATATGGTGACCAGGACTGAATGCAATTCTCTAAATGTGGCCTGACCAAAGTCTTATAAAGCTGCAACATTACAGCCTGACTCTCCTACTCAATTCCCCAACTAATAAAGGTAAGCATGCCATACACCTTCTTTATCACTTTATATACTTGCGTTGCTACTTCCAGAGAGCTATGTTTAGCTTTGTGAGACCTCTGGGAAGACTGATGCTTAATCTTCAACACACTACCCCAGAGATGGTGACAACGTGCAGTCTATATTGCATGTATATCTGTGTATGCGGGTTTACAAATGTGCAGCTCTCTGGGCATGTGGTCTATAATCTATGTAGTTCAGCTGATGTGAATCTATTGCTTTTGTATTTCTGTAGATGTTCATCTATAGCTTGTATTTATCTGTGCATGGCTTTATGGCTTGTGTATTTTTGTAAATGTGCACTGTATCTGTAGATTGTTTATACCTGCATATGTGCAGTCTATAGGTTATTTAGATGTGGACATGTACAATCTTCAGACTGTTTATACCTGTGTATGTTCCATCTATAGATTGCTTACACCTGTATAAGTGCAGTCTATAGATTGTTTACACTTGTACGTGTACAGTCTATTGATTCTTTATACCTGTATATGTGCAGTCTATAGATTGTTTATATCTGTACATGTGCAGTCTATAG